CTTTCTTGTTGAAATCATTAAAAAATGAAGCAGGCGAATCTGTGAACCAACAAATTAAGATGGTGTGGCCTAAGGACTGTGACCCTTTCCAGTGCTGTGCATGTAGGGTGAGCAACAACAGCCGAGACTCAAACCCAGGAAGAAGCTGGATGTCTGACATGGCGTGAGTGAGGGTTGATCGAATACGCCCAAGCAGCCATGAAATGTAGGTTACACACAGGTGTGACAGATAACAGCACTCTGCTGAACTTGCTCAGCATGGCAGAGCTTTTCCCATCTTGTTGGATGCATTTCATTATTCATGAAATGTCAACATCATATGAATTGCAAATTAAGCTTGTACAATCTTGGTGACATTGGAGGACAAATTCAACTAATATCAAAATTGTCCAGGAAGACCACTCAGAGGACCAATGAAATCTGGTCTGTGTGGACAGGTGGTCACTATAGACAGGATTCATATATGCTTGCGTTAATGGGACAAAAAGACACAAGCATCAAGACACAAAAGTGGTCACATTGGCCAGGTGGTCCTTTTGTAACGATGATCACTTGTACCGGTTTGGCTGTATATCAATGGCCAGGTGGTCCTTATGCAGAGGTGGTCACTTGTACAGGTTTGACTGTGGTAGCTACTGTGTCACAGGTCCAGACCAGTGTTTTGGGACACAGGTTAAGTTGCATGTGACCCCAGACTGCCTGTCAGAAGTCCTCTCACAGTTCAAAGCTTAAAGTTCAAAACTGCTTACACAGTGCTGAGAACTACCACAGGCTTCATCCCAAAGTGTTGCACACCTACTCTGACACTGATGTACAATTATAGCTCATTAAAAAAACATTGCATGATACCTATCGTAGGACAGGTCCTTTCTTCAGATGTAAATTGGGCCTAACACACACGCACACAGGGCTGGGATCAATACAAATCAATCCATTCAGGTAAGTAATTGTAACAATAAAGGGCGTCATATATCAGTACACTGTTTTTGGCCTCCAAAGTGCCCCTGCCAATACATTTGATGCAGGTGTAATTCTTCTTTTCCTAATACATGACCACATTTCTCAGGGTCCCTACAAATAACACCTAGGGCAGTTTTTATTAGACAGTGCACCAGCATACAGACTGCTACAAACAGCCTGGATTTATGAACTCTACATAAAAGGGACCAACTTCTCCCGACTGGAAAATATTGGTATGAAAGTAAACTTTGAAACTTTTTTGAAACTTTTATTTTTCAATACAAACATAGCAGACAAAAGTCTGAATTGCGTTAGTATTTACAGACCATTGAGCAAGTAAAATATTGGTAGACTACTGCATTAGTGACAAAATGTGCTTGAATGTGTGTGGATGGTGTTCAGTACTTGGGACAGGTTTGTGTGTGGGGGATGGTGTTCAGTACCAAGGACAGGTTTGTATCTGGGTGGATGGTGTTCAGTACCAAGGACAGGTTTGTATCTGGGTGGATGGTGTTCAGTACCAAGGACAGGTCTGTATCTGGGTGGATGGTGTTCAGTACCAAGGACAGGTCTGTATCTGGGTGGATGGTGTTCAGTACCAATGACAGGTCTGTATCTGGGTGGATGGTGTTCAGTACCAAGGACAGGTTTGTATCTGGGTGGATGGTGTTCAGTACCAGGGACAGGTCTTTATGTGGGTGAATGGCGTTCAGCACCAAGGACAGGTTTGCTAAGTGGATGGTGTTCATCACCAAGGACAGGTTTGCTATGTGGATGGTGTTCAGCACCAAGGACAAGTGTGTTTGTGTGTGGATAGTGTTTAGTACCAGGGACAGGTCTGTATGTATTGAATTTTTTTCTTGCCATGTGTAAATGTTATTCTGCTTGAAAAGCAATCTACATGTATATATGGTATACCTGATTAGCACTGATCTCCTTTATTTATAACTTGCAGTCATTGCTGGAATCACCAACAACAATGCATAACATCATAATAATGACAACCTCTAAAAAAAGGAGCCTAATATCAGTCTGCTTGTAGCATGGTACCTGCATTGCATCAGGAATGTGATAGAGGGAGCTGTGGGCCATCTACACAGCTCCTTTGGAGTGAGTGTGTGCATGTGGTCACAAGTGTGCATACATGCATGTGTGTGTGTGTGTGTGTTTACAGTTACAGACAATCTTAGACATAAGATAAAAGTGACTTCTCTCACCTTTGGCTCCATGGGTGCGTTGAGATCAGAGCGGTTTGGTCTCCTGGGGGGCAGCGGCTCCTCCACGCCCCTCTCCAGCCTCTCCCGCGCCTGACGCTCCCGCTGGATCTGCGCCTCTCGGAACGCTCTCTCAATCTCCTCGTCTGTGTCGGGCGTCTTGTCGTCCTCTGGGGTGGGCGTGGGTTCCCGCATCACCCACACCGGCTCTGACGGAGGCTCCGGGGAGTAGGGAGACGTCACCTGCAGTCAGGACACAAGTGTGATCAGGGATCATCAGGTGATACACAACTGATCTACACAATGTACATCACTCACACGTAAAGAAAATCACTCAATCTGTGTCAATTTACACTGGCGAGTAAGTCACCTACGGTTAGGACACAAGTGTGATCAGTACTGTTGTAATAATATATATACTGATTGTTTTCATTGACATCATAATAATAGTAAAAATAATATATCATATAATAATTATTGACTCCTGGCGACCAGATGTTGGCAGGTAAACTGATTAAGTAGCTGCATGTTGGCATGTTTAACAGGTTTGTATGTGTGTGGTAATCCAACATGGTGGATAGAGCACCAGTAGTTATATGTACAGTATTGTTGTGATAATCTTTGTAAAGATTAACAGAATTCAGATGTATCTTGCACTTTTGCTAGTTCGATTCTACAATAAAATTGAAATTGAAGGATAATGCAACACAACTGATCCACACAATGTACTTCACTCACACGTGAAGGAAATCACTGAGTCAAAAGTGAGTTGTAAATGAAGAGGCATGCTAAAGCAAAATCTCAGCAGCTCCTGCTATATCATGAGCTCCCCCTACTGAAGTACCTAAGATCTGCAGAGGACGTCATCCATAAAATCTACTAACTGTAGTAAAACATCCTATATGATATCTAAGAAAAATCTTTACCTTCTTGCTCTGAGCGATGGCATTCTGAATGTCCTTCAGGGCGAGGCTGATGGCTTCCCGCTGCACCTGGGTCTTGACGGGTGACCTGTCCTCCAGCGAGCCCGGCAGTCTCCGCCCCACTGTGGTCGTGCAGGTCCTCCTGTGTGTAACTCTCCACCTCCCGGTCCAGCTCCTCTTCATCATCCTGCAAGTCTTTACACTCCTCCTGGGGGAGCTGGTCTTCCTCGGCTGCGTCTTCTTCGTACTCATCTCTGTGGCCTCTCCTGCCAGGGTGCTTTCTCCTGCTCTCTGACTTGAGAAGCTCGATGTTGATGAAGGCTCGGTCACCCCTGTATCTCGAGTCTGCATCTACAGGATTGCCTGTCCCAGCTTCACTGACCAGTTTGCTGCAGGCAGCAGTGAGAACATCACCCGTGGCATCCTGTTGG